TTGAACCCAAGGACTCAGATGTGGGAGATGTGTCTGATTGGCATCTTAGCCACCAGGCCACACATGGCTCCAGGAGTTGCTGTAGGTGCATCCCAGCGTCTGCCACGACAGTCACTTAGCCTGAGGCTCCATAGCACGCTCGCCATGTTGGTATGTCTCTCTGGGACTCTGGCGCCCACCCTTCCTTCTGTCCCTGGGAGTGTGACTTGTCTGGGCACTCATAGAAGTAGAACTGTACACACACTCACGTGTGTCATGTGTGTCACGTGTGACCTCGGGATTCCTGCGCACTGCTGCACAACTCACTTGCCTGCCTTTTTGAGGCTGAATGATGTCCCACCATGAGAACACACCACCTCTCTCTGCCACGAATGCTTTGGCGGGTGCTGCCCAGTTGCACCATGTCCTCCACTTAGATTGATCCTGCAGCTCTGCTAGGGGCCATGCAAAATCTACATATTTAAACAAAAGGTTTATTTTCTTACTTGGAAAGCAGAGTCACACACACACAGAGCAGGAGAAAGATCCTTCTGTCCACTGGTTTACTTCCCAAATGCTTGCAACAGCCAGGGCTGAGCCAGGCCGAAGCCAGGAGCCAGGAACACCATCCAGGCTTCCCACAGGAGCAGCAGGGGCCCAACTGCTTAAGCTCACTGCCTTCCAAGTCATGAACAGGGAATGGGTCACAAAGAAGCATGGAGTAGACAGGGCTTGGACTGGTATTGCAATATGTGATGTGGGTGTCCCAAGTAGTGGTTTAACCTACTGCACCACAATGCTTTAATCTTCTGAACTTTCCATCTGCTGGTTCCCTCCCCAAATGGACACGATGGCCTGAGTTGGGCCAATCCAAAGTCAGGAGCCAGGAGCTTCCTCTATGTTCTCAATGCGGATGCAGGCTCCCAAGGTCTTCTGGTCCATCCTCCATTGCTTTCCCAGACAGAGAGCTGGATGGGAAGTAGAGCAGACAGGACTTGAACTAGCGCCCACATAGAATGCAGGCACACAGGCAGAGGCTTAACCTTCTATGCATTCTTAACCCCTCTTTAAGGCCTCGCCTCCCTACACCACCCAACATCACCGTGAGTCCCAGAGCGACAAGCCACATCCCAAGCCACAGCAGTATGCATGCTCTCCACAGTTCTTTCATTTCTTCCTGTCTTGCTTGTTCCTCTCCCCCTCTGCCCTGCCTGTACTCAGGATGTCCCTCCATGGCCTCCACATAGCCTCCTCCTGCCCCTGGCCCTGTTCAGCCTAGCTACCGCCACCTCCCATCTACCCCTGCCTCCCCCGACACTCTGGGTACATCCACTCCTGCTGCCCCCGCCCCGGAACCTTTTTTACCAGCCAGCCCCGGCCTTGGCAGGCCTAGGAGCTGGGCTCCCGCCAAGGGCTGTGTGCATGACCGGACTCTGCGCAGCTGGCCCCCACAGCCTGCAGTGTTCCCATTGGCCACAGCCCCCAGGAACAGGGAGGGAAGGGGAGGGAGGAGGATGCCCTTCCTGTGGCACCTGCTGATAATTGGCTCTCCGGAACCCATCATCGTCGCAGACGCCAGGGCCAGCGGGGTCAGAGAGTGCTGCTCCCTGGGGGCTTGTGGGACTGCATCTGGAGAACTACCTGTTCGTAGAGGATGTCCTCTAACCTGGGGCCCCCTCCAGAGGTGAGACCCTCAGCTGCGACCTTGTGCCCTCCCTCTGTCCTGGGTCTTCCCACCTCCCAGCCTCCACCTCAGCCTATAGATGCTCCAGGGTCAATTCAGACCCCACTCAGGTTGGGAGAAGGAGCGGAAAGTCTCCGAATGCAGCTCCTGCACCTGCTGCTCATCCCAAGGAGCTGGCCTGGGGAGAGATGCCTGATTATTGATTAGGGCTTGACCCTATACCTCCCCCTCTCTGACTTAGAATCCAGGACGGGTGAGGAGAAGGCAGGTGTCTGCCCTTGGGGTTTTAATCTTGCTGGGATGAGAGGGCTGTGCGGGACACAGATGTTTTAAATGGTTTGCAGATAATGGAACTGGGAAGATAAGTGTATCTGGGGGCAAATGTTTTCTGAAATCCAGTATGTGTATTCCTATCACGACAACGAAGGGGTCTTTAAAAGTTCATGGAAAATGGGATACTGAAAAGTTATGTGTGAATTTTGCAAAAGTTTTCTTTTGCGGGGGGTGATACTAAAATACTTACCTTTTCATTCCATGTTTCCACAAGCACTTGCAAGTGTGCTTGTGTGAATTGCAAACGTATCAGGAGGAATTTGAGTTCCTTTTAAAAAAAAAATAGATAGTTGACTAGTTTGGTAAGGCTTAATGCAAGTTTGGCCCGTGCCATGCAGAGGGGGCAGGACTCAGGGTACAGGAAGCTGGGAAGATGCCTGGGATCAAGGAATGGCGTGGAGAGGCAGTACTGCAGGCACAGGATATCACAATAGCAGCAGGACACTGGGCTCAGCAGGGAGCTTATGTTTTGGAAACATCCCTGGGCCTGCAAACAGCAGCTTCTTTCCTACCCCTAGGTTCGCCCAGGCTCTTGCTGTCGGTTCTGGGCTGTAAGGAGAGGTGATGGCTCTTGACACCTGTGCAGACAGCATCCCATGCTTTCCTTACGTACCTATTGCCAGGACACTGGCAAGGGGCCTCGTCTCCATTCCAGAGTATTGCAACACATCTCACCTGCCCTGGAACCTTCAGTGGCTCCCCAGTTCCCATCAGCGCCCCCAGCACCGCTTCCCCCCCCCCCCAGTATCCTTCCCCATCCAGCTGATCCTGAACTGCCTACAAATGGGAAGAGATCTGAAAGCCATGAAAGCCAGGCTGAGCATTTAGTCTGTCTCACCACCGCCCAGCTTTGACATGCTGTTAAGATTATGTGATGTCTGGTATCAAGAGGGTAGGTGTGTGGCATGGTGGTTAAGATGCTGCTCAGATACTTATGTCTCATATCAGAGTGCCTAGGTTCGAGTCCTAGCTCCGTTTCACATCCAGCAACCTGCTCGTTCACATCCTGGGAGGCAGCCTAAGTACCTGAGTCCCCACTACTCTTAAGTGACCTGGATTTAAGTTCCAGGCCCCTGGCTATGGCTCAGCCAAGCCCTGGCTGTTAGGGGCAAAGTAAACCAACAGATGGAAGATCTTTCTTCTCTCTTCTTTGGTCTCTCTGCCTTTCAAATAAATTTTTTAAAATTAATCAAAAAAATTTTTTAAAGAAAAATTTCAGAAATAAGAGCTGGTGGTATAGAGGAGGGATCAGGGTTAGCCAACTACAGCTGCAGAATAGAATGAAACCTCCACCTGGGTTTAAAAATAAAACATTGCTGGGCATGCAGTTGCCCTCATTTATTTAAGCCTCTGTTTAGTATGCAGTGGGAGAGTTCACTAGTTTCCATGGAGACCATGTGGCCTGCAGTGCCTAAAATATGTGGGTAATTCAAAAATTCTATGGAAAAATAGAATTAAAAGTTTATCATTCAAATCTTGAAGGTCACATTGTTCCTTCATGAAAACATACCTTGCGTGGACATTCTGGAGACCTCTCATCACCCATCGTCTGGCTGTTCGAAGGCAGCGTGTGCCAGCCAGCCCCTCACCCACGGAAAGTGTGCGTGGCCAAGTTCACACTGTTGATGCTCGGAACCATTGAGTCTGTACAGGGGATCTTCCTATTGGTTGACATTTTTCCATCATAAAAAAATGAAGGCATCCACTACCAAGCATTTGTTGAAGCCAGCTTTGTGGTACAGCAGGTTAAGCCACAGCCCACAGTGCCATGCCAGCATCCCATATGAGCACTGGATCAAGTCCCTGCTGCCCCACTTCCCATCCAGCTCCCTCTTAATGTACCTGGGAGAGCAGTGGAGGATGACCAAGTATTGAGGCTCCTGGTACCCATGTGGGAGACATGGTTGGAATTCCAGCTTCCTGCCTTCCAGTTGGGGAGTGAACCAATTAGATGATGTTCTCTTTCTCTCTGTCACTTTGCTTTTTCAAACGGTGGCTTTAAACATCACACACACACGCACCCTGGAAATAAACCAGTAGCCTGTAAGTGCAGGGATTCTTGTGTCAATCATGTCCACCCACGCCATCAGATAGCATGCTGTCTTTTTAAAGGATTAACTAGAGTTTTATAATGTGTTGGAAGAATATTCTGTGATATATCAAGTGAGAAAAACTGGTATGCGGAAATGTCTGTATCTGCCAATCCCGTGGAGCAGTGGCAAGATTAATCCCTTCCATGTGCATGCGTGTGTGTGGTATGAACAGGTTGTTAGCATGGGACAAGGGTACAATGGCATCAGTGGAAGGGAAACGGCAAGCAGCTGTGTTTGATCAAGCAGCTGATGTATTAGGATCATGGGTGTGTGTGTTTGTGCATTCTGTGTGTGTGTGTGTATGTGTACACCTTACTGAATTAAGAGAGCTGTAACAGAATGACTGAGAAGGCATGCATATTTTTCACATCGTCGGATGTGAAGGGGGATTTGTGAGTGGGAAATTGGAATTGAAGAGCCACTGTGGCCAGCCCTACCCCTTCCATACCCCCCACCAAAGGCCCCCCAGGGAAAGGGTCCCAGAGAACAGAGACTGGGCCGCATGCCCTCGGCCCACAGCAACTCTCGCCCCAGGCAGCTCTTCCTCCTGCTTCCCCCGCCCTCCATGCCCAGGAATAATGTTTCCCTGGGCTGAAAAGCGCCCCTTTGTGCAGGCTTTAATTGCCGTGTTGTTGTGCCAAGTGAATGAGTGGCAGGCAGGCACAGCAGCTGGGCAAAAACACTGCCAGGCAGCCTGGGCCAGCTGCCCCTGCCCCCCAGCACTGCCCACCTCTGCCCCCAGCTGGGCACTGGCAGAGGCACACGTCCAGTTAGGGTCACTGCGGAGGTGTGGAGGGGGTTGCCAAGCCTGAGGTTCATTGGATGAGGGGAAGGGGGTGTGGGGTGGCCCCTTGGCTCAGAGACTCATTCATCTCTTCCTCCCGCCCCTCCCCCCACCTCTTGTTTTTCAGACCGTCAGCATCAATAAGGCCATTAACGCACAGGAAGTGGCGGTAAAGGAAAAACACGCCAGAAATATCCTTTCGTGTGCTGCTCAGAAAGCCGGCCCTGGGGGAGGTCACATCGTGGGTGGTAGGGGACACACGGAGACACAAAGGTCACAGCCAGGCTGCCTGGCTCAGCTGTAGAAAGTGGAACGCCCACCTACCTGGACCAGGTGTCTATGAGCAGCTTCCATTGACCATGGCTTCCAAGACCAGGGCTGGCCAAACCCACTGGGGTATACTGTCCCCCATCCTTAACCCCAGGGGGCATGAGCTAGATCTCCCCGTTCTCTGAGTATAAATACAGAAGTCTCCACGCATGCCTTGGCAGGTGCTCCATGACCTGTGAGCAGGTGCAGCGTGCATCCCAGAGGAGAGGATGCAGATCTTGGACTGGATGAGGGAGGGCAAGAGTCACCAACTAGAAGGCCCATCTCTGGGTTCACCATGTGGTCCCAGAGCCTATGGAGTTTGAGGTGCAGGAAAAGGAAGGTGCACCCTGACAAGGCCAGGATGTACACAGGAAACTGGTGGGTGCCCAAGTCACCTAGGTTTTGTTTGTTTGTTTATTTTTAATTGCAAAATTGGATATATACAGAGAGGAGGAAAGATGGAGAGGAAGATCTTCCGTCCAATGATTCACTCTCCAAGTGACCACAATGGCCGGAGCTGCACCAATCCAAAGCCAGGAGCTCTTCTGGGTCTCCCACAGAGTCCCAAAGCGTTGTGCTGTCCTTGACTGCTTTCCCAAGCCATAAGTAGGGAGCTGGATGGGAAGTGGGGCTGCCGGGATTAGAACTGGTGCCCCATGGGACTTTAGACCACCGCGCTGGGCCGTCACCTAGGGTTTATGGAAAGGACTTTGGAGCCCGAGGTTGCTGCTGTCACAGCAACAGCATCAGGGCTGGAGAGCTGGAGGCAGACCAGCACTGTGGCTCAGTAGGTTAAAGTGCTACCTTCAACTCCAGCCTCCAGTGAAGGCGCCAGTTTGAATCCCAGCTGCTCTGTTTCTAGTCCAGCTTTCTGCTGCTGTGCCCAAGTGTTGGGGCCCCATGCCACCTGCATGGGAAACCCAGATAAAGCGCCAAGCTCCTGGCCTAGTCCTGGATGTTGCGGCCACTGCCTTTCAAAGACATGAAATAAATCTTTAATAAAAGAAAGTGTTCCCTAAGAGAGGAAACCAGAGAGTCAACATGTTGGCTTTTGGGGTCCCCAGGCTGAAGCAGCCCTCCCATGTTTAATAACAGACAGTCCTGCTTCCCATCCAGCTCCCTGCTTGTGACCTGGGAAAGCACTTGAGGATGGCCCAAAGCCTTGAGACCCTGCACCCGTGTGGGAGACCCAGTAGAAGCTCTGGGCTCCTACCTTTGGATTGGCTCAGTTCCAGCCATTGCAGCCACCTGGGAATTGAACCAGCAGACGGAAGATACTCCTCTCTGTCTCTCCTCCTTTGTCTCTCTATATATTTGGCTTTCTAATAAAAATAAATAAATCTTAAAAAAAAAAAAGCTGCAGGACCTGCCCATGCAGCATGTGCAGGCGCACACACACACACACACACACACACACACACACACACACTCTCTGAAGAAGCTGCAGAGGCTGTGCCATCCCCAGGGAAATGGGCCAGTTAAGGAGGTTTTATTAGATTGTGGCACTGCATTGCCGTCTGCTCCCCGACACCCCGTAGCATTTGCCAGAACAAAGGCTGGACTCTTGGTTTTCTTAGCTGCAAATGATGGGTGGCCAGCTGTGGGCTGCCCCAGTGCAGACTGGGAGGCGGGCCCAGGGATCCCTGTTTTCCTTGACTCCCTGCTTACCATGCATCCTGGGGACCCACCACGAGAAGGGGGCACAGGCCTTCTGGTCTGTCGTGAACCGCCTGCCACTGTCCAGCAACGCCGTGCTGTGCTGGAAGTTCTGCCATGTATTCCACAAACTCCTACGGGACGGGCACCCACACGTGAGTTCCACCCTGGCCCCAGTGGCTGCTGGCCATCCCCCACCTGTCCTCCTGACCTCTTTGCTCCTAGTAAGAGACTGACACCCCACAACACACCCACACCCCACCACCACTACCACCACCCGCCAAGCTCAGCTGACGTGTGGCCCTACCAGTTACTCTGTCCATCCGCAGGTCCTCAAGGACTCCCTGAGATACAAGAATGAGCTGAGTGACATGAGCAGGATGTGGGTGAGTTTGGGCTCCTCCCTATACCCCACCACCACCAGAGATCGAGCATCCCAGAGAGGCTAAAGATACTACCCCACACACCAGCCCCCAGCCACCATGGGATGACATCCACTACCCTGCCTTCCTCGGTCCCCCAGGAGCCACGGGACAGTCCAAGGCCGTAGAGGCTTCTGTGTGGAGCCAACCTCATGCTGGGGCACTGGGGTCCCTCACAAGGAATGGCCTCCATCTCCATTTCACCCCTCCTCCAGGCAGCTCTGGGATTGCCCTAAGAATGAACGTTTCCAGTTCTTGGAGAAAAAAATAATTTTATTCATCCTTTTTCATATATTTCCTGATTATCTTATTTTTATGAAAGGCTGTCACCAGAGGGAGAAACATCTGTTGGTGCACACCCCAAACAGCCATGGTTTGGGTCTTCCCATGTGAGTGCAGGGGCCCACACACTTGTCATCCTATGATGACTTTCCCTGGTGCACCAGCAGGAAGCTAGATTAGGAGCGAAGCAGCTAAGACTCAAGCCGCCTGTCTGATCTAATGGGATACCAGTGTCTTGTACTGCAGTGCCAGCCTCATGTCTTTAGTTCTTAATGCCAGTGCCTTTTCTTCCCTGGCTAGGGATGCCCTCTGCCTTAGGGAGAGATGAGAAATGGAGAGCAACACCCAAGTCCCAAAAAAGGGTGTCTGCAAACCTTTCTAGATTCCCATGGCCATGATATGGGTCGGGGAATCTGCGTTTTGAAGACTCTGCTCAGGTGGAGTCTGATAGGCCCTTTTTGCCTCCAGCAGTTGGGAACCACTACGTGAGCCTACTTCCTGGAACTCTCACCTTATTCTGTCCTCACAGATCAGTAGCAATGCTGTGGTCCCTTCTGCCTGCCTCAGGTGAGGCAGTGCCTGCTCACTGGGAGACAGGCAGCTCGTCCTCAGGGTGTGGGCAAAGCTGGAAAAACCTCCCAGCTGCACCCCAGGAAGCTTTCTCTGTGATTGCTGAAGGGGTTTGTCCCTTTTGGCAGCCATCACCTGTTTGTAGGGTACCACATGTGAAGCAGCCACCCGTGATACCAGCATCCCATAGGACAGCTGGTTCTAGTCCTAGCTGCTCCATTTCTGTTCCCACTGGGAAAGCAGTAGAGGAAATTGGTCCAAGTGCCTGAGTACCTGCCACCCACGAAGGAGGCTTGGATGGAGTTCCTGGCTCCTGGCTTCCACTTGGCCCAGCCCCGGCCATGGTAGCCTTTTGGGGAGTGAACTGGCAGGTGGAAGCTTGCTCGCACACTCTGCCTTTCTGTCTCTGATTCTCTCTGCAACTCTGCCTTTCAAAGGTATAGATCTCTCTTTTTTTAATGACCTGTTACAGCTTTCTCTTTTAACTTTTCTGTATTTTCCTGGAAATGTATCTTTTTATTTTCTTTACGTGAGTATTTTGAAGTTTACTTTTTGTTTATTTGAAAGCAGAATTAGTTCTGCCTTTCTGTGCCACTACCTTTCAAAAACATTTTTAGAGTAAAAATAAAGATGGAGCAGTGTGGATTTTTGGGCCAGTGCAGCTATCCCATGTGATACGATAGTTACGTGTTTGTCAAAACCTGCAGAATGTGCACCACCAGTAACGACCGCTGCTGGGCACTGTGGGTGTTGATGTGTGGCATCAGCTTAGGCACAGCAGGTATAACAGGTATACCACCAAGGTACAGGGTGTTGGGAGTACAGGAGAGTTAGTGTTTGAGATTCTTTGTCCTTCAGTTTTGCTGTGACCATAAAACTGCTCTTTAAAAATAACCCAGCAGGGATGACATTGTGGCATAGCAAGCTATGAGTCCACCTGCGGCACCAGTATCCCCTGTGGGTGTTGGTTCAATCCTTCACCTGCTCCACTTCCCACCCAGCTCCCTGCATACGGCCTGGGAAAGCAGTAGAGAATGGCTCAAGTCTTTGGGCACCTGCACCCACGTGAGTGACTAGAATAAGCCCCTGGCTCCTGACTTCAGCCTGGCTCGTGGCCATTTGGGTAGTAAACTCACAGGTCTTGTTCTGTTTCTTCTCTCTTTTTTATCATACTGCTTTATAACACTAGGGAAAAAATAACTTTTTAAGAAAATCTATTTAAAGACTTATTTATTTATTGGAAAGTCAGATATACAGAGAGGAGAGACAGAGAGGAAGATCTTCCATCCGATGATTCACTCCCCAAGTGAGCGCAACGGCCGATGCTGTGCTGATCCGAAGCCAGGAGCCAGAAACTTCTTTCGGGCATCCCACACGGGTGCAGGGTCCCAAAGCTTTAGGCTGTCCTTGACTGCTTTCCCAGGCTACAAGCAGGGAGCTGGATGGGAAGTAGAGCTGCCATGATTAGAACCAGTGCCCATATGGGATCCCAGGGCGTTCAAGGCGAGGACTTTAGCCGTTAGGCCACGGCGCCGTACCCCCAGAAGAGATTTCTTATGGGAGGAGTGGTGGCAGCAGGTACCACCCGGGCTGGCATTGGTGCTGACTCTCTCTCTTCCCCTCCCCCCCTTCCTGTAAGGGCCACCTGAGTGAGGGCTACGGACAGCTGTGCAGCGTCTACCTCAAACTGCTGAGAACCAAGATGGAGTTTCACACCAAAGTGAGTCTTGCCCATCAGGGTTGATCTGCAGGCTTCCTAAGAAAGATAGTCCACCCACGGCTTCCCGCTTTCCCGCCCAGTGACAGTCACCTGCTAGGGGGAGCTTAGGACAATGCCACCCATCGGGCCCTGCCTGCAGAGCCTCACACTGGAAAGTGGGCTCTGGGGCTGTGCATTTCCAGCAGGTGCTCCTGAGCGGGGTGTATACTGCTACAACTGGTGCCAGGATCCCACCTGGAGACCGGCTGCTGTCGGTGCAAGCTACAGCAAAAACAAGGGGCTCCTGGGCCACCTCCTATGGCAGGTTCCTTCTGCTTGTACACAAAGCAGAGGATGGAGAGTTAATGACTCCCAGCCCCGGGGTGCAGTAGTCTCCTGTTACTGAGTTTTTGGTGCTGATGTGAGAATGGATTGGCCCTCTTGAATCCACAGTAGTGGCTTTAGGTAGTGATGAGGTAGTGATGGGACAGCAGAGAGTCCCAAGCTGGCTATCTCCCCGCATCGCCCCCCACAGGTCCCATTGTACCAGGGGAGAACAGCTATGGAACATTCCAGGGATGAAGCAGAGCCTTCAAATTAGGGGACAGGCATCAGGGGGTCGTTCCTATGGCCCACTCAAGGGTCTGCAGTGTGTGAGGTCTGGGGGCCTGCTCCTAGGAGTAGAAGCTGCCCAAGCAAATCCAGCTCGAAGTGGCCCAGGGCCCCAAGCAGGCAGCATACTTGCTGTTGACTTAGCTGAACTCTTAAGAAAAATGCATCGTTTCTCTACCTCCCTTCCAGAATCCCAGGTTCCCAGGCAACCTTCAGATGAGTGATCGGCAGCTGGACGAGGCTGGAGAAAGTGACGTGAACAACTTGTGAGCGAACTGGCCCCTGTGCTCCAGGCAGGGTGGGGAGGAAATGCTTGCTGGGAAGGCGAGGGCCGAGGTGGGGACTGCTCTACAACCTCTGAAGGGCTGGCCCAGGAGCCACCTCATGCTGGGCCTCATCGAGACCCTTGGCCAGCTGTCCCATGCCCATGGCTACCCTCAGTCTCCCTCCCAGGGCTTGGCTTTCTCCTGCCACTCAGGATGCTTCGTCTTGGCCTTCAGATATGCATTTGGGGTGGGGGCTGGCGCCCATGCATGTGTGAGTGTGACTGTGCATTTAGACACACACGTATGCACATGTGTGTGCATGGGGAGGAATCCGCAGTTTGGCGCGTGGGCAGGGACAAGTGAGCAGCCAACCGTGGACTGTGATGTGTAAGCTGTCTCCTCTTGGATGCAGTTTCCAGTTAACAGTGGAGATGTTTGACTACCTGGAGTGTGAACTCAACCTCTTTCAAACCGGTGAGTGGCTTCCCTCCCTTCTCACCAGGCTCTCAGGTCAGTCCCCAGGGCGATTCACATTTGGTCCAGCCCTCCCCTGCCTACACACTGGGTGGCACAAGGGGCTGGGAGATGTCCGTGCCCTGGTTTGGCCCTTTCAACTACCACCTTGAGGGAGTGGCTGGAGCTCTTGGGTATTTTTGGTGGTCCCTGCTGACCCCCAGCCAGGCTTTTGGCACATCCCCTTCGCTGGGGAAAGGCCGGTGGTAGACTTGATTGGCTCCCAAGTCCACATGAGTAGCCCATGAAATCCTGCTGCACTGTCCAGGTTGGCTTCCCATGCCAGGCTCCCCTCTCCTGGGAGTTAAAGAGCATCCCCTCTCCTCTACCGGACCCTCTGATAAGCCCCCAGCTTCCTCTCCCTCTGCCTCCCCACACCCTCCCTGAGGGGCCATGTGAGAAGCAGCTTTCTTACCATTAGGCCTGGGGAGTGAGTGCTCACAGGATGGGTTCACACACAAGCTCTTGGCTTCTCAGCACTGGGCTATGCAGGGTCTGGCCTTGGGGCGGCGACCTTGACCTTGACTGCAGCCTCTTTTGCTGTGTTCATTTTTGCAGCCTGTTCTGGTCCAACCCCCAGACAAGGCATGTTCTGGAGTGACAAGTTCATTGCTTACTGCTTTGAGCGAACAGTTGAGCATGGGGTCTGTTAGAGAAATAGGCGCCAGTATGTTAGCATCCTGTGTCAGTGTGCTGGACCAGCCACTCCCTCTTCAGGACCATCATTCCCTGTGGATTGGAGGTCTCTCAAGAGGCTGTGCTCGCCCAGGTCAGGGGAGCCTTGGCCAGGGCTTGCCTGTCCCTGCCCAGCCTCTCTGCCTCTCTCCTCAGTGTTCAACTCCTTGGACATGTCGCGCTCCGTGTCCGTGACAACAGCCGGGCAGTGCCGCCTTGCGCCACTCATCCAGGTCATCCTGGACTGCAGCCACCTCTACGACTACACGGTCAAGCTGCTCTTCAAGCTCCACTCCTGTGAGTGTGAGGGGCCGGACACGGTGTGTGTAAGGGGGACCCCTCATCCGTGAGCCTCGCAGGCCAATTGGGTGCTCTGGAAAGGCACAGGCCTGCTCATGCGCTTGACTTTCTGCTTCTGTTGCAAAAGACCCCGGGGAGGGTCTGGGGTGAGAATGTAGGAGACGAGGGGCCTCACTTGCACATGCCCAGTTAGACACCTGGCTTGTCCTGGCTAGGTGCCAGGCTGTCCCTGTCCGCCCACAGCTGGCTGTAGCTAGCCACCATTCATTGCAGGTTTCCCAAACCACACAGAGAACACCCCCATGTCAGCTCACACAGTTTTCCAGACCATCTTTCAACACAGACCCTTTGTACACATGGGATTTTATAAAGATTTATTTATTTTTATTGCAAAGTCAGATATACAGAGAGGAAGATCTTCCGTCCACTGATTTACTCCCCAAGTGACTGCAACGGCCAGTGCTGCGCCGATCCAAAATCAGGAGCCAGGAACTTCCACCAGGTCTCCCACGTGGGTGCAGGGTCCCAAGGCTTGGACTGTCCTTGGCTGCTTTCCCAGGCCACAAGCAGGGAGCTGGGTGGGAAACGGAGCTGCCAGTGTGAGAACTGGCACCCATATGGGATCCTGGTGCTTTCAAGGTGAGGAGTTTAGCTGCTAGGCCACCACGCCAGGCCCCAGATGGGATTTTTTAAAGATTTATTTTATTTTTATTACAAAGTCAGATACAGAGAGGAGGAGAGATAGAGAGGAAGATCTTCCGTCTGATAATTCACTCCCCAAGTGAGCGCAACAGGCCGGTGCTGCGCCAATCAGGTGCACTGGCCATGGACATACTTGTGTCTTAAGATACCAAGGTCAACAGCACCTGCCACTTAGAGTTAGGACAAGAGGCAGGTAATTGTGTGCCTGGGTTTAAAGGTGAGAACAAGCAGCCACTCATTGGAAAGGCAGAGCAATGGAGAGGAAGGGAGGGAGAGAGAGAGATCTTCCATCAGCTGGTTCACTTCCCCCTAAGTGCCCACAGTAGCCTGGCTTAAGATCAGGCCAAAACCAGGAACTCGGAACTCCGTCTGGGTCTCCCGGTGGATGGCAGGGACTCAGGCGCCTGGGCCATTCTCCACTGCCTTCCCAGGAGCCTTAATAGGGAGCTGCATGGAAAGTGGAATAACTGACACCTAATCCAAGTATGGGATCCCAAAAAGCATCTTAATCTTCTGCACCACAATGCTGCCCCCTTCCCCACAACAAAAACCAGGAGAGGAAATGGAAGGTTCTGGAAATATTAGGACTCCCACCCTTCTGTTGGGTGCAGCTCATTGATTACCAGGTCTTAAAGGACAAGTGTAGGCCAACAAGGACCCCTAGTAGGCTGGCCACAGGCCTCAGGAAATCTGGTCTCCTCCCCTCCAGTGGCTTCCTGTTGTACGCCTGCCCCTCTGGTCTGCCCCCTGGCTCACTTTATTTCCCCTGTTTCCTTCCAGGTCTCCCAGCTGACACCCTTCAGGGCCACCGGGACCGCTTCATGGAGCAGTTCACAAAGTAAGTGGCTCACGTGACAGAAGGGGTGCCCCACTACCCTTCAAGGGTTCACCAGAATCTCCGGACATCCACTATTGCCCCCTACAGGCCCCTGCAGATACTGCAACCTTGTACAACACACCCATTGCTCAAAATCTTTTTAAGTTTCCATAGACTCCAGAGGCAGAGAAACAGACAGATGAGAGCTCCCCTCTTTCCACTGCCTCTTTCCCCAACTGCCCAAGACAGCCAGGGCTGGGCTGAAGGTAACACCCTGAGCCAGGAATTCATGGTACTGAGACCCAGCTACCTACCGCCTCCCAAGGCTTACATGAACAGGGAGCAGGAGTCAGGATTTGGATCCAGTGACCCTGGTGTGGGCTGCCAATGTCCCAGCTGATGACCAGTCACCCCAGCTTGGAAGACGCTCAGGATTAAATCTAAGCTCTTTTCTGGGGTCTTTAAGGCCCTAAGTGCCCCTGGCTGGCCCACTATCTTCAGCCTCACCACCATCACTGACGGGTCGTCTCTGGGGCCTGCATTGCACCCACCGCCTTCCTCCATCAGGCCCCTAACACTTGCTCTTCCCTCTCCTTTGGATACTGTTCCAGCGCAGCCAGCTCCAGCTCATCTTTCTGCGTCAGAAATTCAGACTCAGCCCCACATGAAGCCAAGCCTTTTTTCTCCACTTCCTGTTCCTCCTGCCCGCATCCCAACCCCGAAATTTTTTCCCCCAAAATTTATTTCAAAGATAGAGCTACAGAAAACGAGAGAGAGAGAGAGAGAGAGAGACATCTTCCATCCCACTGGTTCACTTCCCAAACGTCTACAACAGTCTGAGCCAGGTCAAAGCTAAGAGCCCGCAACTGCATCCGGGCTTCCCATGTGGGTCATCCTCCACTGCTCTCCCCAGTGCCTTAACACGGAGCTGGATCCTACGCAGAGCAGCCAGGACTTGAACTGGTGTGCACCAATGTGGGTTACCAGTGTCGCCAAGTGGTGACTTAACCTGCTTCACCACCACCCCCCACCCTGAAACCTTGATCCCAGCACCCCATTTGTTTCATTCAGAGTTCTGAGCACCCATTCCTTCCAGTCTTATCTTGTCCATTATGAGACCTTTCCGAGTGCCTCAGCTGCGACAGCGTGTAGGGAAGGAAGGCTTGTACCTAGGGACCTGGGAAAATTCTGATTGGCCCAAAGAAGTCAGCTGTCTGCTGGCAGGAGAGGAGGAGAAGCCTGCGTGGCTGAGAAGAAAAATGTTCTGGAACATTTCCCAGGACCAAGGCCAGGGGGATGCTGACCTCCCCATTGCCTAGTTCTGCTTGTGCAGCCCAAGGGCGATCCTGCGATCAATGGGCCATGAAATCTGAGGAGACAGGCCCTGGGGCAAGTTTCCTGGAATGTTAAATTGCAGTTGGCTTTCTGTTGTGGTGGAGCCTGGTGCCCTTGGCACAGGCCCAGAGGAGAATGCACAGTCAGCTGATTGTATTTCCTTCCGGGTTTGGGGTTCTCTTCTTGCTTATAAAAACATTTCCATGCATAAGTAGCTTGCCTTGCCTGCTCTTCCGTGCAGATCCAGCTGTCCTCCCACCCCCAGACCCCATCCTCTGCTCAGAGTCAGGCAATGTGGCCCCGTTGTTGCAGCCACAGACCTGAGCCTCGGGGATTTATTTGGCTTGTTGAGCAAAACTTGTGCGGAAAATCCTGCCCTTCCGGGAGGTGATGTAAAATTGCGGAGTGCTCTCCCTTCTCTAGTATGCATAGCGGCTGCAGGAAGTTTGTGAACAGCGAGATTTAAGGGATGGATGGATTTGGACCAGGCTTTGTGGCTGAGCAGGTTAAACCACTGCTCGTGAAACCGGCATCTCATCATGCAGCGCTGGTTTGAACTCCACCTCCACTGCAGCTCCCTGCTTGTGGTCTGGGAAAGCAGCAGAGCATGGCCCAACCAGCAGAGCCCCTGCCTCCCACCCACGTGAGCCACCAGGATATAGAGCTCTGGGCTCCTGGCTAGCTCCTGGGGCCACTTGAGAAGGAAGCCAGCAAATCTTTCTTCCCTTTCTCTTTATTTTAAATAAATAAATTTATTTTTCAAAAAGATAATTAATTTTGGTACCAAAAAAAAAAATTTTGCAATCCATGCATTTGAAGGGGTCTTTGGAAAGTTCATGCAAGGGCCAGCATCAGGCATAGTAGGCTAAGCCTCCACCTGTTGCACCGGGATCCTATATGGACATCAGTTCGTGTCTTAGCTGCTCCACTTCCCTTCCCTCTCCCTACTTGTGGCCTGGGAAAATAGTCGAGGACGGCCCAAAGCCTTGGGACCCTGCACCCACATAGAGACCCAGAAGAAGTTCCTGGTTCCTGGCTTTGGATCAGCGCAGCTCCAGTTGTTGAAGCCAGTTGAGGAGTAAATCAGTAGACAGAAGAGCTTCCTCTCTGTCTCTCCTCCTGTCTATAGATCCCAACTTTCTAATAAAAATTTAAAAATAAATCTTTTAGGGCCTGACGCAGTGGCTTAGTGGCTAAAGTCCTCACCTTGAACACACCAGAATCCCATATGGGTGCCGGTTCTAATCCCAACTACCCCACTTCCCATTCAGCTCCCTGCTTGTGGCCTGGGAAAGCAGTTGAGGATGGGCCCAAAGCCTTGGGACCCTGCACCCGTGTGGGAGACCCAGAAGAAATTCCTAGCTCCTAACTTCAAATCAGTTCAGCTCCAGCTGTTGCGCTCACTTAGGGAGTGAATCATTGGGCAGAAGATCTTCCTTTCTGTCTCTCCTCCTCTCTGTATATCTGGCTTTGCAATTAAAAAAAAAGACAAAAAAAAAAAAAAAAACAAAGAGGAAAGAGAGAGATCTTCCATCCTCTGATTCACTGTCCCAGTGGCTTTAAAGATTTCTTCAGTTTTCTGTTTGCAGAAAGAGGACCGACATAAAGAACCTCCATCCACTGCTTCACTCTGCAAATGGCCACAGCGGCCAGATCTGAGACAGTCTGAAGCCAGGAGCCTGGAACTGCTTCTGGGTCTCCCACAGGGATGCCAGGGCCACAGGACATGGGCTGTCCTCTGCTGCTTTCCCAGGCGCGTTAGCAGGGAACTGAACGGGAAGTGGAGCAGCTGAGACTACTAACATCAGCTCCCTTATGAGGTGTTGGCACCACAGGCAGAGGTTCAGGCTACTGTGCCACAGTGTCGGGCACCCTCTATGAACATTTTGAAGAGCCCTTGTGTAATCTGAATATTATCACCGTTCTTGATCTTCCGGGTTTCAGTTCAAAGTTAAGATTCAGGGAATGAGGAAAGAAAGCATTAGTTCCTTCTTGCTTATGTTCATACAAGAGAAGGGCACAGTGTAGATTCTTAGTCTCCAGCAGATACTGGGTATCCCTGTGTGCCTGGTCTGATGGTACCTGAAGCTTGGCAAGACTCAGTCCCTGCCTTCCAGAAGCTTCCAGTCTGTTTCAATAAATCTGAAGCAGCAGGTTCATTTTTTTTCTCCCCAGTTGATCATATCGGATGGCCCACAAATGGTGTTATTTACCTAAACAGCCCTTGACTGAAAGGGGGCAAAAAAAAAGGTTGCCACAGAAAGATGAATCTCCCAATAACATCGTTATCCAGTGATGGGGAATTAGCGGATCTTCCTCGCCACCAGATACACTGGGCACTTGGCTTTGAGCCACACTTGTCTGCAGCATCACAATGGAGTCTCCAGTGCCACAGCAGGGTTGGGCAGCCATCTCCTTGACAACCTGAACCTTTGGGCCACCCCCTGGGTAGGGGGTGGGAAGCAGGTGGTGGGCTGCTCTGTCCCCACTGTGGGGCTGGTACCACCTCGCGGCCCTCAGACTCTGCTCCCATCCCACCACCACCACCACCCGTAGGTTGAAAGACCTCTTCTACCGCTCCAGCAATCTGCAGTACTTCAAGAGGCTCATTCAGATCCCGCAGCTGCCCGAGGTAAGAAGCCCCATGGGCACCATGCCCCACGCACACAGGTGTCCCCAGTAACCATGTAAGGATATGGGCCCTCTGCTCTCCCCCAGAACCCACCCAATTTCCTACGCGCCTCGGCCCTGTCGGAACACATCAGTCCCGTGGTGGTCATCCCTGCCGAGGCCTCATCCCCCGACAGCGAGCCTGTGTTGGAGAAGGACGACCTCATGGACATGGATGCCTCCCAACAGGTGAGGCTCACAGCAGGGCTTGGGAAGAAGAGCCCAGTTCTCCTCCCCTGCTACAGAGGAGAGCATGGAAGAGGCCAGGCCCGGGCATCCTGGCTCTAAGCAGTTCCGTCTTCCTCTTAACAAAGCACCAGCCTGGACCCAGGACCCTGCCCCATGCTTCCTGTGTGTGCGCGCACACACACACGGGACTGAGCCAGGTCAAGATGAAGAGGGGGGCAGCCTTTCTCACCTGTCAGTCCCCTGCACCCTCTTGTAGTGTTCCCTGCACTCCTTCACGTGTTACTTCCTTCCCCCACCCCCACCCCGACCCTTGCAGAATTTATTTGACAACAAGTTCGATGACATCTTCGGCAGCTCGTTCAGCAGTGGGCCCTTCAATTTCAACAGTCAGAACGGCGTGAGCAAGGATGACAGGTGAGTCCCGACTGAGGGCTGCTGTGCTCCACCCCACAGTGCAGGAATGAGTGTGTTCATCTTCATCTTACATTTGAAATGTAGAAAGGCGGTGAGGTCGTCCAGGCTGCAGCCTAACACCTGCTGACCCCATGGGGTATGCGAAGGCAGGAAGCTGAAGTCAGAAATGAAGCCAAGACTGGGACCAGGCATTAGATGTGGGGAGAGGGTGTGGGCGGGTATCGCCACTTAACTGCTGTGCCAAATGCTCAGCCCCCACAGGCATTCTGGATGATGCTTGGGCTTCTTAGATAAAGCCATGTCTGGCCTCTTATATCCCAGACAGGAAGTAGTAGCTGCTTCAAGATTTAGTGCCTGAGAACACTTAGGGTACAGTCACTGCAGGACCCCAGAGTCAACTCATATACACTCTTCTGGCTACTTTAAATTGTGTCTAGATCTTTTTTTTTTTTTTAAGATTTTTTTTTTTTAATTTGAAAGATTCTCCATCCACTGCTTCCCTCCCAAAATAGCTGCAACACAATGTCCAGAGCTGAACTGACCAAAGCCAGGGGCCTCTTTGGGGTCTCCCACACAGCCTCTTTGGGGTCTAGGACTTGAGCTACCCTCCATTGCCCTCCCAGGCCATAAACGGGGAGCTGGATCAGAAATGGAACAACTGGGACATGAACTGGTGCCCACATGGGATGTCTGTGCTTGCAGGCAAAAGAGTAGCCAAGTGAGCAAACACGCCAGCCCCTGGCTCACTACTGATACCACATGCATAGCTGTTTGGCCATATTGTTTGGGAAATGATGAGAAATTGGCCTGCACGTGTTCAATAGGATAGAAACTTTTTTTTTTTTTTGAGTATTTTGACCCACAGTTGGGTGAATCCGTGATGTGGATCCCCTGGGGGATCGAGTGTCTGCTCTTGGCCTCAGTTCTCCCCCTTTCCTGTCCTGCCCGCCACCCAGGTGTTCACTTCCTCCCACGGGGGTCCCAGAGGTTACCCATGGCTCATTAACTTGCTCAGCTTCTCTTCACAGGGACCACTTGATCGAGCGGCTCTACCGAGAGATCAGCGGGCTCAAGGCCCAGCTGGAAAACACAAAGGCAGAGGTACGCCTCAGCACTCACTTCCCTGACACAGGATGGGGATGTCGGATTGCCTTCACGGCCGAAGGCAGGTTAATGAATAGGAATGCCAATGCCAGAAGAAGCTGATCACAGCAGCCAGGGATGGACTGAGCTGAAGCCAGGAGCCAGGAGCTTCTTTACACCCTCCATGATCACAGGGGGCCCAAACACTTGGACCGTCTTTCACTGTGGTCCCAGGCCAGGAGCGTTAGCAGGGAGCTAGATCAGAAGTGGAGCAGCTGGTACTCGAACCAACACCTGTATGGGATGCTAGTGATTTAGCAGCAGCTTTACTGGCTGTGCCACAGCACCGACCCCTATAATGAGTTTATATGGCATCTACCTCCCCCAAGCAGCTCAGCCAGACTCCAGCAAGGGTCACTGCTAGTTTGGGGTCACGGTGAGAGAGGCCACTTCTGACACGGCCCTGAGAAGAATGGCTCCTGGCCCTGGTGGTAGTAGCTGGGGCCATACCCAGGACCACACAGTCCTTAGTGCCATGGCTCACCAGAGGCCCACAGTTCAGGCACCCCTCATGGCCTCCCGTGCTTCCTGCAGCCCAGCCATTGCCTACCCCCATCCTGGCCACTGGAACTGGAACCAGGCTCTTCCTGCGCTGCTCCTCTGTTATGGCCAGAAAGCAAGGCTCAGCTGTCATGAGGTGCTGATAGCTGGCATGCTGGGGACAGTAAGAGACCTCCCCAGGCTGTGCTGGACACCTGTGTGTATCCCCCACCTGCAGAGCCAGCGGGCCCTGCTGCAGCTGAAGGGCCGTGTCAGCGAGCTAGAGGCCGAGCTGGCCGAGCAGCGGCACCTGCGGCGGCAGGCAGCCGACGACAGCGAGTTCCTCCGGGCCGAGCTGGACGAGCTCAAGAAGCAGCGTGAGGACACGGAGAAAGCCCAGCGCAGCCTGACAGAGATTGAAAGTGAGAGGCTTCCCAGGGCGGCGGCCATGGGGGCGGGCACAAAGCCCTGCGGGGCCCAGGGAGCACCTGTTACCTTCCCAGGTGCATTAGCAGGAAGCTTGATAAGAAGCAAGCAGAGTAGGCAGGGTACTAACTGGTGCACTTATACGGGATGATGGCTCTGGCAGCAGCAGCTTAGCTAGCTTTGCCGCCATGCCAGCTCCTAAGTGGGGTTTCTGATTGAGAAGATCTGTGCAATTGTGGGAAGGGAGGGAGGGAGGGAAGAAGGGACGAACAAATAAACAAAAATCTTCTGGAGCCCCTGGCATGGTGGAGGGGTTGGCAGGGGGTCCTAGTCAGGGTGTACCCCCTCACCTTGACCCTTGACCATGCAGGGAAGGCCCAGGCCAATGAGCAGCGATACAGCAAGCTCAAGGAGAAGTACAGCGAGCTGGTTCAGAATCATGCTGACCTGCTGCGTAAGGTAGGACCCCAGACCCTCAACCCCACATCACCACAGCAGTGGCAGCCCCGGCCTCCAAGGGTTGCCTCCATTTTTTTAGGAACCCCTGCTTTTCCAGATTCTTCCTGTGGCACCCCTTCCCCTCTAGCTTGAGTTCCATTGCAGATCATCCCCCCCATCCTTACTGTTTCATTGTATGTATTTTGGAGATTTACTTATTTATTGGAAAGTTACAGTGCAAAAGGGAAAAGAGATCTTCCGTTCACTCGTTTACTTCACAAATGGCTACGGTGGCCAGGGCTGGGCCAGGCCAAAGCCAGGAGGTTAGATCTTCCTCTGGGTTTCCCTCATGGGTACAGAGAGCTAAGCACTTGGGCTGTATTCTGCCGCTTTCCCAAGTGCATGAGCAGGGAGCTAGATGGAAAGTGGAGCAACCGGGACTTGAACCTGTACCGTGTGATGCTAGCGTCATAATAGGTCAGTTTAACTCTCTGCCACATTGTCAGTCCCTGTCCCTAGAATTTTCCTAACAGACTCCCAGACTCAAGAATCACAATTTTGGCACGTGATCCCAGCTTTCTTCTAAGAATGAAAGTGATTCCTGTGTGTGACTCCGGGGGGCATACACGCAGGCTGCCTGTTCGAGAAGCAACGTATCCTTTACGTCAGAGAGAATCCCATCCTAGATACTGCTGTCTTCTTCCAGAATGCAGAGGTGACCAAACAGGTGTCTGTGGCCAGACAAGCACAGGTGGATCTGGAACGAGAGAAGAAGGAACTGGAGGATTCCTTTGAGCGCGTCAGTGACCAGACCCAGCAGAAGGTGAGTGGCAGGAGAAACCCATCGAGGGGAGTTACCCACTGGAAGCAGTTCACAGGCACTGCCTGGCACAAAGACCTCTGTCGCCTCCTCCGGCACAGGCCAAAAGAGTACCTGGAACCCAGCAGCAGGTGCACACGCGAGTTAGGGGTCAGGAAGGCATGAGGGGAACCATGGGTGAAGTGAGTGTCAAGGGGAGCTGAAGCAGAAGAATAAAACACATGGACAGCAACGGAAGGGTTGTGTGACCTATAGACGTGTGGCCAGTAGGGACGGGGCAGGGTGGAGGCTGGGCGAGGACACCGCGAAAGCCGTACACTCGGCAGAGCACCTGTCGCACTTGTCTCTGATCCAGAATCAAACGTACATCTGTCACCAGATGGGCATGGCTTAGCTGCAGGGTAAGCTGCATCCCACACCAGGCACTGGTTCAAGTCCTGGCTCCTCCACTTCCAATCCTGGCAGTTCATCCTGAGATGCAGCAAGAGAGGGTGGTTCAAGTGTTTTGACCCCATCTAGGATGCTCCAGTGGAGTTTCAGGCTCCTGGCTTTTGTGAATGTTTGGGGGATGAACCAGTTGATGGAGGATCACTTCCCTAATGGTCACAATGTCCAGAACTAAGCCATTCTGAAGCCAGGAACTTCTCCCACCGTGGCTGCAGGAGCCCAAGGCCCTGGGCCATCCTCCACTGCTTTCCCAGGCCACAAGCAGGGAGCTGGATGGGAAGTGGAACAGCCAGGACACAAACCGGCCCCATGCTCAAGGGGACTTTTTGCACCTGTTTTTCGCATGCCTGTGACACTGGCCTCCCACTTTTCTTCCTTCAGACACAAGAGCAACAGGAACTTCTGGAGAACTTGAAGCAGGAACTCACCACCAGCAAGCAAGAGCTGCAAGTCCTCCAAGGCAGCCTAGAGGCTGCAGCCCAGGTGAGCAGCTATACTTCCCCCAGCTGGGATCACACCTCCCTAGTGGGGAAGGTCAGGGAGACAGCACCTGCTCCTGGCCTCTGCAAGCCGGGCATGCGGTTTGGAGCTCTAGGGAGGGGACAGCTCTGCCCCGTCCCCCAGCATCACCTTCTTTTTCCTCTTTCTCCCCACTACTGCAGTCAGAAGCCAAATGGGTAGGGCAGATTGCAGACCTGCAGGAGGAGCGGGACAGCTTGGCAAGCGCCGCCATGCAGCGGGAGGAGGAATTCTCTGCACTAAGGGAACAGCTGGAAAAAACCCAGCTCCAACTGGCCAGTGCAAAGGCAAGTGGTGGGCATCCAGACCCTCTAAGCCCCGTGCAAACTCACACCCAGTAGGACTCAGGGTCCACGTGGAGGCAGGAGAAAAGGGGATGGAAGTGAAGGGTTAGAGGCCTAGCGCATTCAATGAGTCACACTCCAAGTGCCAGGCTGCTGCTTTTGCCTCACCCATAAAGCCAAGAAGAAGAAAGCAAGGGCGGCCCCTGGCATTGTCTCCCAGGGTAATCACAGCCCAGCCCCATGGCCTCCTGGTGGTGAGCAGCATGCAGCTGGTGACCTCAGGTTAAAGCCTGGGACTATTCAGCAACAGGTGCAGCTCAGGGTGGGTCACAGGGAGCCCCATTCAGGACTCCCTGGGTGGGTGGGGGTTGTAGCAAGCTGTCACCTGCCTGGGGATCCCTTCCCAGGAAGCCGTGTGCCATTTTGCCAAGGACCAACGGAGGATGCTTCTGGAAGGGTCGCGGAAGGCTGCTGAGCAGGTGATCCAGGAGGCCTTGAGCCAACTCGAGGAACCCACGCTCGTCAGCTGCGCCGGGTCTGCAGGTACCCTCATCCAGGTGTGAGCAGAGGCACCTCTCGGCAGGGAGGCAGCTCAAATACACAATCACCGAGAGAGGCTGAAAAAAAAAATCGCCATGTTCATTTCCCCCCATCCTGGGTGTGTGAGTCTAGAGGCATGGGGGTGTGCTGAGCAGGTGAGCGGGTACCCCGGGAGTGTTCTGTGATGGAAAGAACTGGGAGGTGGGAGAACATCCAGGCTGTGAGGGTTTGTAAACTTGGGGACATGGCTTGGGATGGCTCACTTCCAAACTCTTGGGGGGTGTGGGAGAAAGGTCAGGACCAAGAAGAAGAAACAATGGAATCCTCACCTCCACCAGTACTTCCTAGGGTGCCCAATGTCTGACCCAGCTCATCCACACAGCGATGCCACGTTGGGAGGGGACAGTGGGGTGGAGTGGGAGGGTCACCCATGATTCCCTGCTATGTGATGAGGAAGTAGACATAATACAGCACAGTGGCATGCAGTGGCACCACAGCAGGTCGTACCTGGGCAGGGCAAGTGGGACTTCAACGCCTATAGACAGGGGCACAGCGCGCAGGGTTTGACCTGTGTGCAGAGAGCAGGGGTGCGGGAGCAGGCTGAGGGGAGCCAAGGGTCTGAGTTCCAGGGTAGTAATGGACTTCCCAGGGAAGCCCAGGTGTCCTGCCATGGGCAGTCGTGAGCAGTGAGGCTGTGGGCCACAGGCAGACCCACGCAGCAGACTGACCTGATCGAAGCATCCATGGAGTTAGCCACATTCCGTCCCAGTCTCGAATAAAAACAATTCCCTGTGGAATAAAAACAATTCATTAGGTCAGCACCTCCCACCTGGGGCAGCTCCACCAACCACAGGACCCTGGCTCTGACTCTACCCTGTCTTTCCAGAGCACCTTCTGTCCACGGTCAAGTCTGCTTGCAGCTGCTCTGAAGAGCTGGAAAAAAGCCGGAGCCAGTATCTGGCCTGCCCAGAAGGTGAAGGAGGAGGAGGAGGAAGGGATGGGCTGTGACGCATGAGTGACAGCCAGGCAGGGTCCAGATGCAGAAATAATGGCAGCTCTTCTCTCAACTCCTGGCAGATATCAGTGGGTTCCTGCACTCCATCACCCTGCTGGCACACTTGACCAGCGACACCATCACCCACGGTAGCACCACTTGCCTCCGCGCCCCGCCAGAACCTGCTGACTGTGAGTGTACCAGACATGGGGAGGTTAGAAAGGAGGGTGGCAGGTGACCCCTCAACACCGCCATCTCCTTGCACCTGCAGCGCTGACCGAGGCCTGCAAACAGTATGGCAAGGAGACCCTCCTGTACCTGGGCGCCCTAGAGGCGGAGGGAACACTTGACAGCGCTGACCCCACAGCCATGAGGAACTGCCTGAACAAGATCAAGGCCATTGGCGAGGTGCGTTCAGCTGAGGAAAGGGATTGTTTTGGAAAGCTGTAACTTGATTTTAGGAAGAGTAAAGCTGGGGCAGGGAGGGAGGAGTGTGAAAATCAGATTTTTCTGAAGGGGTTTGCAGTTTGCTTAATTCTACAGTTAATTGCAAAGTGGCTGGCTGTGCATTTTCCACTACACTGGGGGTGATATAAGGGTAAGAAAACCATCTTCTTGTCTCCCGGGACTTTTTAATCTGGTTAGATGGATGACACCTAGAACTGGAAATAAGAAAATACTTCATCATTCAATAAAAATGCAGTGATTGCATCCTATAGAATAAGAGTTGGATTAGGTATCATTTAGGTACAGCCAACACATGTAATCTATGGGAAGGACAAATAAGACTAATGGTTTCTCCTCTTCTGTAAGATTTATTTATGTATTTGAAAAGCAGAGTTACAGTGAGGAAGGAAAACCAGAGAGGGAGAGATCTTCTATCTGGTTAACCTTTCATGTGGCTATCACAGTCAAGTCTTGGCCAGGCTGAAGCCAAGAGCCAGGATCTTACCCTGGGTCCCCACAGGAGTGGCAGGAACCCAAGGGCTTGGACCATCTTCCACTGCTTGCCCAGGTGCATTAGCAAGAAGCAGGCTGAGAAGCAGAGCAGCCGGGACTCAAACCTGTGCCTGTGTGGGATGCTGACCTCCCAGTTAGCAGCTTAACCCACTGCAGCACATCACAGCCCTGAGAATACCTGTCAGGTAGCACAGACTCGGCACCTGCAAAAGCAGTGGAAGACAGCACATACGTTTGAGCCCCTGCCTCCCATGTGGGACACGCAGATGCAGGTCGAGGCTCCTGACAGCCTGGCGCAGCCCCAACTGTGGCAGTCATCTGGGGAGTGACCCAGCAGATGAACCATCTCTTTCTGTATCACTCTGGCTTTCAAAGAAATCAAACCTTTTTTTTTCTTAAGGTTTATTTTTATTAGAAAGTCAGATATACAGGGAGAAAAAGAGACAAATCTTCTGTAGGCTGATTCACTACCCAAGTGGCCTCAATGGCTAGAGCTGAACTAATACAAAGCCAGGAGCCTCTTCTGGATCTCCCACGTGGGTGTAGGGTCCCAAGGCCCTGAGCCAGCCTCTGCTGTTTTCCCAGATCGCAAGCAGGGAGCTGGATGGGAAGTGGGGCCATCAGGATTAGAATCTGCACCCACATGGGATCTCAGTACGTGTAAGGCAAGGACTTTAGCCACTAGACTACCACACCAGGCCCAAAACACTTTTTTTTAAATCTATGAGCTTTGGGCCTGGCGCGGTGGCGCAAGTGGTTAAAGGTCCTCGCCTTGCACGCCCGGGATCCCATATGGGCGCCGGTTCTAGTCCCGGCAGCCCCGCTTCCCTTCCAGCTCCCTGCCTGTGGCCTGGGAAAGCAGTGGAGGACGGCCTAAAGCTTTGGGAACCTGCACCCGCGTGGGAGACCCGGAAGAGGCTCCTGGCTTTGGATCGGCATAGTATCGGCCCGTTGCGCTCACTTGGGGAGTGAATCATCGGATGGAAGATCTTCCTCTCTGTCTCTCCTCTCTGTATATCCGCCTTTCCAATGAAAAAATAATAAAAAATAAATCTTTAAATCTATGAGCTTTGCCATCCATCAGACCCAAGTTCAAATACCACACTGTGGCCTGCACCAGCAGTACAGCTCCTCACCTATGCTGCCAGAGCAGTAACTTACTGGAAACAACATTGTCTGTATTTGATCAAGTTGTTAAAAGTGCTTTCCATGGAGCAAATGCAGCCAACATGGTACACATGTGGGGTTAGGGTCCCAGCAGCTGTGGCTCAATGACCTGGCAAGGTTAGGCAGTGAGGTAGGGTTAAGGCTATGGTGAGGGTTAGGGTTTGGCTTCCTGCAACCAGGAGGGCAGGACGAGGAGGGATGTGGGCCTTCCTCCTTTCCTGCTTGCCATCCTGTAAGGGCAACAGGTGCACCAACAGGGCCGGGCCAGATGGTCAAGTGGTCAATTCCACCTTTGTGAATCTCTTGACAGGAGCTCCTCCCCAGGGGCCTGGACATCAAGCAGGAGGAACTCGGGGACCTGGTGGACAAGGAGATGGCCACCACTTCCGCTGCCATTGAGGCAGCCACGGCCAGAATAGAGGTAGGCTGCCAGGGTGGGGGTTGGCACACTGCCACCAGTTCTTAGAGCTATGCTTGGGCGGCCACACACCCCATTGCACCTGTCCCAGTCATTTATCAAGGCTAAGGACAACCCCCTACACTTTACTGCCCACTAACCCCAGAAATGAGACCAAATCCCAAACTCAGCAGCACCTCCCAGGGGGCTGGAAAGGGTAGGACCCTCAGAGAAGGAGATAAGTGGTCTCAGGATCAGCCCCTCCTGATGTTGGCATGCTCGGAGTCCCCGTCTTAGCCCCGGCCCTGCCACTAAAATGACTTCACTTGGATGCCATCCTGAGGCTGCTTCCACAGTGGTAGCGGCAGCCATACCCCACCCCAGAGGCCTGGCACTAGGGTCCAACATGGCCGTGCACACTTCTGATTTTCCCTACGCCCCTCATCAATGATGGTGGGTCATGCCTAGAAGGCTCAGTGGTCACCACTGGAAAGGCCCCAGGGTGCTCCTTTGCGGGGGCGAGAAGACCCAAGACATCGCTGTCTCTGGGACCCCACCAGGTTGTAGCTGTCGGGGTTCCTACTGGGCATACAAGCCCAGGGAGTGAGGCTGCAGAGACCACCACCTGCCGCCCCTGCCTGATGCATCCACACAGATACAGGCCTCTCAGTGCATTTTGAAAACCGTTGTATGTTTCGTTGTATTTTTCAAACAGGAAATGCTCAGCAAATCCCGCGCGGGAGACACGGGGGTCAAGTTGGAGGTGAACGAGAGGTTAGTCTGTGCCACAGTGGCACCTGCTTGGGCATAAGCTATATTCTGGACCTGGGGCTGTGTCCTGTGCACACACGCCCAGGGGGTCAGAGCAGAACCCGGGAAGGACCAGGGCTGGGTGACCATCTGGTGACAGTGTCCATAGTGACAGTGAGGTCGCCATCACATTCGACAGCACTGGCTCTGGGTGTTGGCAGCCCTGACCACCTCCTTTGCTCCCCACCCCACACCCACTGCAGGATCCTCGGCTCCTGTACCAGCCTCATGCAAGCCATCCAGGTCCTGATTGTGGCCTCAAAGGACCTCCAGAGAGAGATCGTGGAGAGTGGCCGGGTAAGCCCACGCAGGCTGGACCCGCCTGTGGGAACCACGGACATTGGGTATAGGCCCCACCCGGATCGTGAGAGTCCCCTCCATGTCCCTAGGCTCTGGCAGAGATAGTGTCTGGTCCTGGGCACCCACCACGGATGAGCTGCCCTTTGCCTCTGTCACTTGTCAGGTCTACTGAGCTCCACTAACTCCCCAGGGGCCAGTGGACCACGCTATGACCACAGCTGAGCAGCCCATTATTGAAAGAAAAAAAAAATTTTGAAAAACAGAGTGACAGAGAGAGGGAGAGAAATGGGGAAAGAGAGAGAAAGAAATCTTCTGTTTTGCTGGTTCCCTCCCTAAATGGCCTCAACAGCCAGGGTTGAGTCAGGACAAGGCCAGAATTCTAGAACTCCATCCAGGTCTCCCACGTGGGTGTGCAGAACAGGATGTGAGCGCTGCAGGCGACAGCTTAACCTGTCGCTCCACAAAGCCAATCGCCTCATATAAACTTGAAATCTTTTCTCAGTGGCTTATACCACATGCAGTGCAAATGATAGTGCAAGCAGTTGTCCTACTGTATGTTTTATTCTCCCCCCAAAATAATGTGGAACAGGGATTTGTTAAATACACAGTTTGGGGAGTGCCCAGAAAAGGAGGACTTAACTATGGGAAGGCTTTAGGGGAGTAGAAACACTGCCAACCTGGGCCAGTGCTGTGGTGTAGCAAGAAAAGCTGCAACCCACAACAACACTATCCCGTATGGGCCAGTGGTTCAAATCCTGGCTGCTCCACCTCCGATCCAGCTCCCTGCTAATGTGCCTGAGGGAACAGTGGAGGATGGCCCAAGGACTTGGGCTTCCTGTACTGAAGCAGCTCCTGGCTTCAGACCAGCCATCATTGTCACCATTTTAGGGTGTGACACAGTGGGTGGAATACCTGTGTGTGTGTGTGTGTGTGTGTGTGTGTATAACTACATTCTAAATAAATATTTTAAGAGAAAGAAAATGCTGCCAAGCTTAGGGAGAATCCTAGGATGGACTGCCCTATAGTTGGAGTGCGACCTCGGGGGCAGCATGTCTGCCGCTTTCTCCGCTGTGCAATGGGCTGGTTGTGCCCATGACCCCTGAGAGTTCCTGGGAGAGCTCATGTCGTGGTTTGACCAGAGCCCTCCGGGAAAGGTGACCATCGCCCCCTCCCTGTCACCTCCCAGGGTACCGCCTCCCCAAAGGAATTCTACGCCAAGAACTCCCGCTGGACGGAAGGTCTCATCTCCGCCTCCAAGGCTGTAGGCTGGGGAGCCACCGTCATGGTGTAAGGGGTCCCTTTCCTCACCCCACTTCCCTTCACCCACCCCAGGGTGTGGCTATGGGGGACATCGTCCCCGTATAGTCCCCAGAAAGGGACAATTGCTAAGGAAGTCAGTAGGTCTGTAAGTCCCAGAGCCAAGCTGCAGCGACATAGATGCTACAGGCGTTGTCACCTTCCAGGGACGTCAGGAGGGTCTAAAAGTGGGGTCTACCACTTGAAGAGTTCCCTTGGAACAAGCCCCACCTCAGAGACCCTGGGATGAGTGGGAGGCTGGGTGGGGCTTCTCCCTTTATCTCCACCCTTACCCCAGATACAGAAAAAAAGAAAGAATGTGGAAACAATGGTCTTACCCACTTTCCTATAGCCCTTGACCCTTTGTGCCCTAATCAACTATATAAAGATTATCAAAATAAAATAATAATATAAAATAAAATAATAATTTTAAAATAAAATAATAATTTTAAATAAATAAAAGTGGGGTCTGTGTGTGACCTGGCCCAGGAGCAAGGTCATGACCTGCCTATGACACCTTGTTCAGATTGGGATCTGTTATGATCTTGTTCTGGACTGGCTCATGACTTGTCTGACCTTGTCCGTGTCCTTTTCTGTCAGGGATGCAGCCGATCTCGTGGTACAAGGCAAAGGAAAATTTGAGGAGCTCATGGTGTGTTCACGTGAAATTGCTGCTAGCACAGCCCAGCTGGTCGCTGCATCCAAGGTAGGACCTTGTGTTGGACTCTAAGAGCTGGGGTAACCTGGGACAGCCCAGCTGATGCCAAGGGTCAAGATGGTTGGGTCAGGTGGCTCTGTGGCACAATGGATAGCGTATTGGACTTCTAGTGACAACAAGATGGTTGGGTCCGGATTTAAAAAAAAAAAAGTCTTCTCATACATTGACGTCATGAAAAGAGCGTCCTCACCAGTTGGGATTCGTGGAGCTGGGTCCCCAGGTCACCTAACCTGGCTCCCCTTGCACAGCCTGCATCTACCCCTCCCTCCTGAGTCTCGGAACTTGAACAGTGGCCTCCAGCAAAGCCCACAGCCACACTGCACCCCAATGACAACGACAAGTGCCCTTTCGTGCTCTGCTCCAGATGAGCAAAGAGCGCTGCTGAAATTGGGGGGACCTCCCAGCAGATGAGCCAGGACTGTTGGTTTGGTTATAGACATGCCAGGAGCTGATCCCATAGGCAGCCATGTCTGAGATGTTGGTGGGTAACCCACGTGGTTGTCGAGAGCCACCCAATACAGCACCTCCGTCCCTGTTGCTGCCCTGGCCAGGGCAGGAGACCCAAGTCTGCTCTATCCTGGCAGGTAAAAGCCGACAAGGACAGCCCCAACCTTGCCAAGCTGCAGCAGGCATCTCGGGGAGTGAACCAGGCTACCGCTGGGGTCGTGGCCTCCACCATCGCTGGCAAATCCCAAATCGAGGAAATAGGTAGGCTCACCCACTGCTCCCCCTCCAGAGAAACAGCTACACCAACTTGAGGAGCCGCCTCTCCCTTTCCACACCCCCACCCCTGCTCTGACTCCCTCCTTCCTTCCCGCCGGGTCCCTTGCCCGGGACACTCTGGGTCAAGGTCTTCTCCTTTGTCCCCTCGCAGACAGCATGGACTTCTCCTGCATGACGCTGACGCAAATCAAACGCCAGGAGATGGACTCACAGGTGAGGACTGTGCACCTCGAGGTCTTACTGGTCTCCAGGGCTTAGACGTAGGCCCCCAGTCTGATTCTTGTGAGGGAAGCCAGAGAGAGAGAGAGAGACCTTGGTCCGGGATGAGCCCAGAACACCCAGCAGCTCAGGACTGATTGTGGAAGGCTGGGTAAAGGACTGGGTCCTAGCAGGGCTCTAAGTGTCATCAAGATATCCCAGCAAGCCAAGAACTTAGTGGGATTGGAAAAGCAAAGAGACAGAGTTCTTCCCTGTTTACTACCCTGCTGCAAATGTCCGTAATAGCCAGGGCTGTGCTGGGCTAAGGCCAGGAACCAGGATACTCCATCCAGGTCTCACCTAAGTACTTGAGCCATTGCCTGCTGTCTCCTAGGGCAGGGCGGGAAGCTGGATGGAAAATGGAAAAACCCAACATGCTGACTTGAGATATAGGCATTTCAAACACTCTTGGCTTTAAATACTACCTGTCTGAAAGCAGCAGCAGGTACTTCTCCCCAGCCTACACCCCCATCACCTCCTCACACCTGGCCTGTGGGCCCTGACGATGTCTGTGTCTCAGGCCCATTTCATGTCTCCGTCCCATTTGCATCATCCTTGGCATACCTCAGTCAGCTTGTTTTGTATTAATGACAAAACGCCTGAGCAACTGACACCACAAAGAGAAAGGATTTCTAAAGCTCAGCATTTGGGAGGTTCCAGGAGCTGGTCACCTCCTAGGTTTGACCTTGTAAAAGCATCAGAGAGCTGATGTATAGAACATTCTATCTCCGCTTTCCCCTCCCCTCCAACAGGTCAGGGTGCTGGAGCTAGAAAATGACTTGCAGAAGGAACGCCAGAGGCTGGGAGAGCTGCGGAAAAAGCACTATGAACTTGCAGGGGTCACTGAAGGCTGGGAAGAAGGTAAGGTGACCCCAAGGGCCAGCTCAGCTTGCAGCCAGGAGAGGAAGTGGCATGGCCAGGCACTTTGCCAACAGAACAGAGCCAGGGACCCACGGGTTGCTGTTGGGTAGATGAAGAGGAAGGCAAAAGTTGTCACTGTCACCTGTGAGACCTAGATAGATAGCGTGTGATGGATTTGCCCTTCACCCCACTACATGGGCTCCCCCCAAAGGCCTGGTTCACCTGGCTGGTTCTCTCGCCCAACCCTGGCCATTGCCGGGGAAGGCTGCTGTCTGGCCAGCATGGAGTTGAGTTGTGACTGAGTAGCAGGCAGCAGTGATGTGTCTAAAGGACGGGCAGGTGAATTACAAAGTTGTGCCAGTCTCAAGCCACCCGGGACCCAATCAAAAGGCTTGGCTTAGAGTGGATTATTACACCTGCCATCAGCCAGAGGCTCTCTGTGTGTGTGTGTGTGTGTATACACATACGCTGCTTGTCCACACGTCCAAGAATTTCTTGGCTTTCATTGGACTTGACCAAATCTGGAAAGCAGCTTTAGCTAAGCTATCATCCACACAGGCAGTGTTATACGACATCATCTGTCTCTGTCCTTTTAGAATCGGAAGCAACTCCACCTTCCCTACAAGAAGCCGGGAGCGAGAAAGCCTAGACCTGCACAGTGCCCCATCCGTCAGAGCGTAAATCCTGTGACCCATCTCTGTGTGGGTGTGGGTGTCATTGTCCCTTGTCCCCAGTCCGCGTCCGCTCCCTGTCCCTCAAAAGGCTCCCTGCACCCTCTTCTTTCTCTCCCTGCTCCCCCACTGTCCAAGGCAGCCAGGGAACAAGAGGTGGTCACGTGGCCCCCACTGTGGTCGGAGTTCAAACCCCACAGTGGCTGGTGTCCTCCTGGACCTCGATGATGTGGCAGCAGCAGTGGTGTGGCATGGCATGGCATGGCCAGGAAGAGCTCATGCCTTTTCTGTTTTTTTTTTTTTTCTTTTGTTTTTTGGTTTTTTTCTTCTTAGTCCTTTCCGTTTCATCATTTGCACAAACTTGCGAGCTCCTGAGGGCTGGTGGATCCCAACCCAGGACACACTGGGCGCCAAGTCTACCTAATCAGTCGGGAACAGCAGGGAGTGTCCTGGCTGAGAACACCCATGCCCGCAGTCATGGCCATGGCCATCCTCACCCCCATGGCTCCCAAGGCCTCGCCCGGGTCAAACACATTGCTCACTCACCCACGTGTCCCCCTAACCACACTACCCACCCCCACACACACACTCACACCTGACCCCAGGAGCTCTGATTCACCCAGGATGTATCCCCCACAGCCTCCCTCCCCAGGCCACAGCAGTCAACAGCCACGGTGCTGCGCCCGGGCGTCCCCTTCGGTGCTCCCCTGCGGCCTCCCACGCTGGGTGTCCTGCCCAGCATGCACCGGCCAGCCGAGGCCCCTCGCTGAGGGTCGGCGGCAGCTTCCTGCAAAAGGCCGAAACCGAGCGAGCGAGTGCCTTGAGTCCCCATAGCCTCCGCACCACCCTGTCCACTTTCTGAGTGACGGGGGTAGACGGAGCCACACACCCGACCCAGGCCTTCTTCAGGGGCTATGCCCAAGCTGGACAAGAGACTGCCACTTCCCTGGCCCCTGCGCATGTGTGAGAACGCCCTCCAAGGAAGACAGTTCCATGGACAAACCTGGACAGCTCCAGGCTTCCAGAGGGGCCCCTGTGCTGGACAGCGAGCGGGGCAGGGCTGGCCCACTGATGACTACACCTCCTTGCAACGTCAAGGACACTGGGAGCCCTCGGGAGCTCAGATGTGGCCATGGAAGGTTGGCATTAAGTCCCATGACATCGGCTTCAAGACTCCAACATGAGGCCCTGGACGCCACTCCCAGACTTGCTGCTGCCTCCCTGCCCCTCAACGTTAGAAACGAGAAAGGGGGAACCCCAGCTCTGAAACCTTCCAGCTACGTGTCCCCAGCACGCCGCTATCCTGCAGACCCGATAGAGGACAGAGAGCACAGGGGCAGCCTCCTTCACACAGGCAGCCTTGCCAGCACTTTGCCACTCTCCCGAGACAGACCCCAACATTTAAGTGCCCTTCTGAGCTCAGAAACAAACCAACAGCGTCTTCCTTCTCCATCTGTAGTAGCAGCTCCTGGCCGCAGCCAGCTTCTCCTGGAACAGTGGTCCGTCTCGCCACAGAACTCATTAGGAGACTTCTGTCTGATCACTGTGAATCGATTACCCCTGCCCCCATCCTCTCACCCCCACTCCCACTTTCTCTGTCTCTCTCTCTCTCTCTCTGCATTTTCTAAGTGAAGCACCCGCAGAACTTTCTCCCAGGAACTCCGATGACCGTGTGCACACATGGAAACCCTGGAGACCAGGCTGAGGAGGCGTCCACAGTGTAGACTCTGGACAGTCTTTGAGCTTCGCCTGAGTCTGTCTCAAGGAGAAGCGTGAGGCATCCTTGGCCTGGCCGTGCCAATTAACGCACAACATGAGTCATGGCCATGGTGACCAGTGAGGAGGGATCGGGGCCAGATACCTAACATGTTGAATCTTAACCAGATGGAGTCTCTGAAGAAATAATACTCCCAATTAGAAGCCAGATTATCCCCTCCCCCCCATACATACCCTTCAGTAAACTTTTCCTGGGCTTAGCCTGAGCAAGGAGACACAGTTGCTCACAAAGGCAGCAGGAGGGGGTGGCCTTCGTGGCCAGCTCAGAGGAGACGGACACCTCTCCATTCTTAACCCAGAATGCAAGCATCTGGGCCTTGGCTGGTGTCTAAACTGCCCATGTAATCATTCGTGTGGGATCCCTGGAATGACAACAGAAGATGGCATGGTAGGAACTAGAAATGTAACAGCTTTATCATCGGGTCCCCAGGCAGGGACGGTGACTGAAGAAAGTTCACGCCTCTCATCGTTGGTGACCGAAGGCATGCACGGGTCGTGACAAAAGAGGGCAACAACAGAATTCACAGTTTAGTTAAAAAAACCATGTTACTTTTTATTCTGTTAGAGCAAGGATAGCTGTGTGTGTGTGTATGGCAAGGAGGGGAGGAAGACCAACTTTGGTGGGGGTTTATGCCAGGTGATGCAGGGATGGCAGGTGCAAGTTGTGTCAGATCCACCTACCTTGGCCTTTTGTGCCTAAAGGAGGCAGAGGAGGGGCAGCTGGCTGCCAGCTGCACCCTGGCAAACTTCCACCCTTTGGCTAGTTGCTTGGTGCAAGACCAGGGTCCACTGGCTCCACCTCAAGCTGCTCTATTGAGAACTATCTGCTCAGCGCTCCACCCCCTTCTGTGACCTCTCCAAGTCTCTGGAAGCCCTGCCTGCTTCCCGGGCTCAGCCTTCAGCCCCAACAGCTCGCCAGCGGGGTGGCACCCTTTCTTCACCTAACCTTGGCCCCGTGAGCAGGGCCAGGCATGTGCTACTATGTCCTTTGATGTCACAGCTGGACCAGACATGGGGGGCAGCCACCCACCGCCTGCCTGCCCCCCAACCCCAGCAGCCAAGACACCGTGGAACACTTGGGTGGACACCAGTTCAGAGAGTAGATTCTTCTAGATTTGTCTTTCAAGTGACCCTCAACTACCTCAGGCTTAAAGGCCCTAACTTGATCTGGTGACCACTCGTGGGGGCCAGCCGAGGAGGCGTGATAAGATCCCCGGGGATGACACAGACGACACGGACTTGGCCACTGAGGCTTGCACGGTGGGGGTTACCTTGGTTTCTGTTCTAGTGTTCACCTTCTGCCCCTCACTCTTCCATTCCCAGAGTTCCTATGGTTTTCAACTTCTTGCCCAGCACCTGCCTTCACAGACAGGTAGCCACTGGCCTTCACTTTCTTCTGACAAAACTTTTATTACGGTGGTTGGACCTTTCTCTTTGTATATATAATACAGTGCTTCTGTGTTTTCAATTTTTTTTTTTCAAATAAATATCTCAGCCTGGCCATGGAGAAGAGTCTTGCTAGTTGACTGGCCAGAGGGACTCAAAGGCTTGATTTAATATCCCCAAGGTTCACGGGATCACTTAGCTCGGCTTCCTTGGGGAGGAGAGAGCTCAGAAACTTTTACTGGTGCTTGGAAGATCGATTCAAAAAGCTGAATGACAAGGGCAAGCACCGGGGCTTAACAGACTAACGCCCCTTCTTACAGCACTGGCATCACATATGGGCCCCAGTTCTAGCCTGGTGAGTCAGAAAAACTGCATAAAAATACTGAGACTTGGGCCCAGCGCAATAGCGTAATGGTTAAGGTCCTTGCCTTAAACGCGCCAGTTCTAATCCTGGAAGCTCCACTTCCCATCCAGCTCCCTGTTTGGGACCCTGCTCCTCTATGGGAGATCCGGAAGGAAGTTCCTGGCTCCTGGCTTTGGATAGGCGCAGTACCGGCCGTTGCACTCACTTGAGGAATGAATCATTGGACGGAAGATCTTCCTATCTCTCCTATCTATATATCTAACTTTCCAATAAAAATAAGTAAATCTAAAAAAAGAAAAGATTTATTTTTATTTGAAATGCAGAGACGGACGGAGAAAGGAGACAGATGTCCACTTGCTGGTTCTCTCCTCATGGCCACAATGGCTAATGATGGGCCAATCTGAACCCAGTAGTCACATGGGTGCAGGGTCCCAAACAGATCATCTTCAGCTGCTTCCCCAGTTGCATTAGAAGGGAGCTGGATTGGAAGCAGAGCAGCTGGCATGTGACTTAGTGTCCATCTGGAATGTTGGCAATGCAGGCAGAGAGGCCTAACTCACTATACCATGATACCCCTATCATGGTTTCTTTTTTTAAAGATTGATTTATTTTTATTACAAAGTCAGAGAGGAACATCTTCTGTCCGATGATTCACTCCCCAAGTGAGCACAACAGCCAGTGCTGTGCCAATCCGAAGCTGGGAACCAGGAACTTACTCCAGGTCTCCCACGTGGGTGCAGGGTCCCAAGGCTTTGGGTCTTCCTCTACTGCTTTCCCAGGCTATAGGCAGGGAGCTGGCTGGGAAGTGGGGCCACCATGACACCAACCAGTGCCCATATGGTATCCAGGCGCATACAAGGCAAGGACTTTAGGCATTAGGTTACCACACTAGGCCTGTATCATGGTTTAATAAAGGGACTAATCCTCTTACATCTTATGATCTATTGCCTTCCGCAGACCACACCTCCGGCTGCCGTCACCCTGAGGATTAGGGCTTCAATAGGCATTAGCAGAGATTCACTGAGCTAAGCAGGCTTGAACCATCCTAGACAGGAGGATGGGCAGTAGTGCTCAACTTAAGTGTCAGGGTTCACCAATCTGAAGCCAGGAGTCCAGAGCTTCTTCCAGGTCCCCCTTGTGGGTGCAGGGCCCCAAAGCTTTGGGCCATCCTCATACTGCTTTCCCAGGCCACAAGCAGGGAGCTGGTTGGATTAGAACTAGTTCTACCAGGATTAGAACTAGTGCCCATATGGGATCCTGGCACGTGCAAGGCAGGGACTTCAGCCAACATGCTACCGCGCTGGGCCCTTATCTATAATCTTTTGTAAATAAATAAAAGACGACGGAGGCAGCAGCTTGCAGAGCTAAAGAAGATCTTGAAGGGACGTACGTGAGGTCGGGGAGGAAGGCTTTTTGGGGCCGCTCTGTCCCCACAGGGCCCATCAAAATCCTGGTACCTGTGAGTGCCAGAACCCTGTTGGCAGTCATGACCCCAAG